AACATGCCCTTTTCCAGATTCTGCGAGATATCAACTCGTTTTGCAAAACAACATTATATTTATTAAAAAAAATGCAGTTGCAAGTAATGGATGATTCACCATTTTACTAACAAAATCAGTACTAGGAAGCGGTACACGAAAAATAGCTCTAGCTCTAGCTGTGGAAATTTGTCAAGTCTCGCTTTTGCCTGGCCTTTTCTCCCCCACCCAACATCAAAACTTCCCGCATTTATATGCAAAGGTAAGTCGCCGGTATTAACCAGTTCTGTGATTATAGCTGCGCCCAACATAAAAAAAACCCCTCTGAAAGCGAAACCAGTTTCCTACAATTTTGAATAAAAGCGGGAAAAAAACTTAAATAGCATCCGCTAGCAAGTGAAGCATACCTCAGCAGATGGTGGACATCCAGGAACATATATATCAACCGGAATTATACGATCGCATCCACGGAGCACCGAATAGGAGTAGTGGTAATATCCTCCGCCATTAGCACATGAGCCCATAGAAATCACCCATCTGCAAATTAATGAATCATACAAAAAAATTGCATCCCAAAATGGTATGTGCTTTTTCCTGGAGGCTTTACTGTGCAAAAACTTGATAAAATATTTCAGAAAAAAAATAAATTTGACAATGAGGCAGATTCTGAACATAGTGAAGCAATGTTTCTTACATAAATTAAATTATACAATCATTTAAATTTCAATGCGCATATCATTCTCCAGTTGCATACGGCTGCAACAATTTTCTTGTGCAAACACACTACCGAGCTACTAGTTTCCATACCGTGAAAACCAGTACAGGGACCAGTTTTCTGAAGGGATTAGTCCAGCTTTGAAACGAAATGACGGAGAAAAGCGCGGAGAAAAAGACTTGACAGTTGTCGATGAAGTGAAAAGCCCCAAAAATTAATCAAATTCTTCAATAATGAATCATATTTAGATTAGTTTTCGAGAAGATGGAAAGGCGTGCTTTTGAAAATTCATAGAACATATGAATCACTAACGATCAATACAGTAGCACTTCACATTGTGAGAACATATGCCGCTCATAAAACTATATGCGTTCCATGATTTTTCTTTGCACACGAACTGGTTTTGAGAGCACCTCAGACCGGACTCGATCCTCCTACACTGGTCTTTCAATCGATGACTATGAATTGCATTATAGCAGCACTAATCTAATTCTTATGTCAACAAGAAGCCCAGGCCTCCGTCCATCTACGTCATAGGCACGAGACCTTCCCGCACCAACCTCGCAGCGGCGATCGATATCTATTAAAGACACTGATTCTTCACTAGGCGATTGATTAACTGGATAGGGATGCTAGCAAGTGCTTACTGAGTACGAACGACGATTAGACCGGGTTCTGACTATCAATCAATAATCATCAAATACACTTATGAGTCAAAATGTTGCTTCTGTTGCTTTAAATCAGAAAAACTCACTACCTCGATCATTCAGAACTCGACGATGAAGCATTTGTGCACTGGAAGACCACGAAGTCATACACAGACGTCCCGATGGGGCGCGGCGACGAAAAACTACAGGCGAGATGCGAGTTTCGATCGATAATATTGATTGCCCTGCGAGGTGTGGTGACGTCATTTGCCGGGTGGAAAAACATTCGCGGCCCGCCTCGCTCTCGTCGCTCACCCCGCTATCCGCGACGCGATTGTC